ATAAACAAACAGAGCTCCTCGGCCTTTAGAGGTCAGTGGATTTTTTTATACCACCTCTGAGTGCTGCTGCACTGCCCTGAGACAAGGTACAAATTTAGTTGCACCTAGCAGAACGCTGTATGAGCACACAGAAAGAAATCCAAATGTAGAATATGCAGCTACTGCTCTAGCACAAAACCTACAGAATTGCCATTATTTTGAAGGTAAATTTAGAATCAATTCCACAGCCTATTAGTAGTGGTGTAACTAGAAGGGTGCACTGATTCTCCCTCACCACACATATAGTATTCAGAGAAGCAAATGGATTTTAGAGTTGCATCATCTAAATTAGACGTGTATATGAATACATATTTTCTATCCTTAGAGGTAACATAAAGTCTTACATTTAAGACAAAATTAAAATATAAAACTCTGCGTAACCTATTCCAAAGCTGGATACTTAAAGTATCTCAAACTTCTTCAGAAATCTACATCTGAATTTTCCATAAATAAATAAATAGTGCTTGTCAAAACTTGTTTGTTTTTTTTGTTTTTTTTTTTTTTAAATCTGAAGATCAGCAATATCTCAAAGCACTGGATTTCCAAAATACTTGAACCACATCTGCATATATCTTCCTACCTGCCAAGTATCATCCTGGCTGAATTTTTGCACTAAACACTCATTTGGAATCATCCGTTATTTCTTTTAAATAGGGATGAAGGTAGACCAACATAATGTATATTTCTTGTTACAGAATCACAGAATCACAGAATCACCCGGGTTGGAAGGGACCTCAAGGATCATGTAGTTCCAACCCCCCTGCCCAGCAGGGCCACCAAACGTACACATTCAGATCAGGTTGCCCAGGACCCCGTCCAACCTGGCCTTGAACACATCCAAGGACGGGGCATCCAAAACCTCCCTGGGCAGCCCGTTCCAGGGCCTAACTACTCTCCTTGTGAAGAACTTCCCCCTAACATCCAACCTAAATCTTTCCTCCTTCAACTTTGATCCATTTCCCCTAGTCCTGCTGTTGTCAGCCCTTCTGAAGAGTTTACTCCCCTCCTGGGTGTAGGTTCCCTTCAGGTATTGATAGGCTGCCATGAGGTCACCCCGCAGCCTTCTCTTCTCCAGGCTGAACAAGCCCAACTCCCTCAGCCTGTCCTCATAGGGGAGGTGCTCCAGCCCCCTGATCATCTTAGTCGCCCTCCTCTGGACCCTTTCCAAAATCTCAATGTCTTTCTTGTACTGAGGGCTCCACACCTGGACACAGTACTCCAGATGGGGCCTCACAAGAGCCGAGTAGAGAGGGACAATCACCTCCCTCTCCCTGCTGACCACCCCTCTCCTGATGGAGCCCAGGATCCCATTTGCCTTTTGAGCTGCCAGAGCGCACTGCTGGCTCATGTTCAGTCTCTCGTCCATCAGGACCCCCAGGTCCTTCTCTGCCGAGCTGCTCTCAAGGACCACTCCTCCCAGCCTGTACGGGTGCCTGGGGTTCTTCTGGCCCAAATGCAAAACCTTGCACTTTGCCGTGTTGAACCTCATTAGGTTCACCCGAGCCCAGCCCTCCAGCCTGTCGAGGTCCCTCTGAATGGCATCCCTTCCTTCCACCGTATCAACCGCACCACTCAACTTGGTGTCGTCAGCAAACTTGCTGAGGGTGCACTCAATTCCCTCATCGATGTCATTAATAAAGATGTTAAAGAGCACCGGTCCCAAGACAGACCCTTGGGGGACACCACTTGTTACCGGCCTCCACCTGGACATAGAGCCATTGACCACCACCCTCTGTCTGCGGTTTTTCAACCAATTGCTTATCCATCGGGTCGACCACCCATCAAATCCACTTCCCTCCAATTTGGAGATGAGGATGTGGTGGGGGACCATGTCAAAGGCCTTGCTCAGGTCCAGGTAAATGACATTGATTGTTATTTGTTTGATTTGTTTGATTTTGCTCACATTGAAAAGGATGGGAACACATTGAAATATTACCCATACAAAATCCCACTGAAAGTATTCCAGATTTTTCTGGTCCAGGGAACACAGGACAATTAAATGTAACTTCAGAAATGAAGGTTTCTGAAGAGAGATCACAGCTTCTTTGTATACCAGATTTAGATTTAGTCCCTTATCCACATTGTCCATATATGCAGCATCAGCTTAAACAGAATGCAGATATGAGAACATTTTTATCCACATCATCAGGTTTTTGTACTAAAGCTTTTTGATGCTACCGGAGTCCCAGCACCTGGAACTGTATACAAATACCTATTAAACACTATAGAAATATCTCTTCTCTGCTTTCATTTAGACACCAGAAGGCTCTCTTCTGATGCCAAGCTCAAACCTGATACTCAAACTATTTGGAAAGTAACCATAATCAGAAAGGGAAAAGTTTCTCCCATTTGTCAGGGACCTTTAGAGCTACACCAATGCCTTCCAGCATTCAAGATCACAGTGGGCACTGTGCAGGCAGCAGATATTCTCCTATGACTAGGGCAGAGAATACAGGAGCGAAAAGCCTCTGAATATGCCCTCATGCAATGCACCTATGAGAAATATGCAGATGAGTGATACAATGATTACACATTTTTGGAGGAGGGGTGGGAGGGCAGAAACACATTTTTTGAATGATGATGTTTTGCTGGATTAAAAATAAATAAAGAAAAATAAAGGTTTCTCTAGCCGAAGTCTCTTAGGGTGCAACATCCTGCCTCTAGATGTTGGGAACAGGACCTCCAGTCCAACATGTTGGGTCCCTGAACCCCTCACAGTGTAAACTTTCACACTTCATAAAGGCTGCAAACACACAAGTCAGCACAAATGCAAGAGCCTACCAACTTTAAGCACTGTATCTTTGGATAAATCAAAATTAATTCCTGTTCAGTTCAAGATAACAGTTAAGTACAATTTGAGTTCCATTTCCCATATGACTTTTTTCCCCTTCAGGAAGCTGTGAACCTTCCCATTCTTTAAAATGTTTATAAGCCTCAGAGTGGATCTCTCTGTACATAGCTGTAAATCCTGCAACTACCACCTTGTCTAAGACAAAAGTCAAACGCTTACTCTACTTCTAACTCACTGCTAAAAAACAGAAAATAACAGAAGTTTAATCTAAAAATTCTTAGGTACTTTTTTTTAACCTCTCTCTAATTAGCTTAGTAGTTTTCAGGCAATAAATTATAACTTCCATAAGTCTTCCACAAAGTTTGAAAAAAGCATACTTCAGATCAATGCTACAGTGAGCCTGAATGAACAAAGCACTCTTATTTTCAAGAGACCTACTCTTAATCTGCATCAGTCAGGGATCCAGAACTAAGGAAACACTACTTCACACCAGAGGAAAAACAGGCCAACAGGGATTTCCTTCTGGATATCTCCTCTGATCTTATGGGAAGAAATCCCACTGTTCCTTTTCCCTCAGAATCAAGTGATGTGGTGATACTCTCACATTCTTCTCTGCTGTATGAAAGACTGTTTCTATAACAGAATCATTCCTCTCATCCACAGTTTTAGAATTACAACCACACAGTTGTCTTAAAAGAGTCATAATTTAAACAGGAATTGCATATTTATACTGTTCTATGTAGATTTAATAGTTTGCCTGTTTGAAAAATAAAAATTAAAATGTGATTAGAAATGGTAATAAGAAACATTCATTGTCATACATTCCACTAACTCACACTTGACCCTTCTTTGACTTGTTTCACCTGTAGATCTCACTCTTGGTGTTGAATGTAAACTCATGTCTAAAGACCAAATGCTTAGATGGATTATATCAGTTATTCCCTTTTTTCTAGTTTATGAAATGGAAAGATTTGTAGCAGCTGTAGATCTAGTCTTGAATTGAGTTTTTAACTTTGACTAGCAAAAGTACAGTGGCAAAATTGGCAAAAATATTGTTTACAAAACTACATATTTGACTGTGTATTAGTACCTGAATATGCTTAGATATAAATATGCATAAATATGATATGAAAAAGTTTCCACTATGGTCTGTCAAAATATTCTCTGTTCCATGGAATTGGCAACGTGGTCAAAGTAAACATTCAAAAACCAATGTTTGTTTGCATCTAGAGTTTACATTCAGAATTTAGTCTCCTGTTTCTTCTGGGATTTCTTTCAATATGATTAACATTTGTGGAGTGGACCCAAAAGATTCTGCTGTTGCAATCCAGTCAGTATTTATCTAGCTGGAACCAAGTTTATTGACATACTTTCAGCTTAGAATATGTGCTTTATTTATTAAAGCCAAAATTGCCAAACTTGGCAGCGTAAAGTCAAGTACCAAAATCTATATGCACGTATTACGTAAGCGGCCTACTTTTCACAGGCAGAGAAGACCTGTAAATTTCAAAAAAAGGCAGCACCCTCTGAAAATCAGGTCACTTAGCTGCAGATATGCAATTATCCATGTTTGAAAGAAAGATGCCTTCACTTGCATGGCTTAGGTATAAAAACTGGCATAGCGTGCCCTATGAAAAACACTTCAAACACACCTTTTGAGAGTTATAATTCCTCCTGCAAATTCTCTCACAAAAGCAATAACCTTCTAATTAAATGTATCATTGATTCCTTTAATCTAGGTTGAATATGATCTGACTAGTGAGTTGCCTAATAATATGTTGAAAAGACCCCAGCGTTTTCACTCGCTTTCTTCTCATTTTAACACTGTGTAAATCTCAAGCATCATCTCTGTAGTGGTTGTCTAGAGCTGGTTGCTTGAATGAACAGATAGTCTTTATTTGATTTCTGCAATAAAGCTGTTAATTGCAGTACTGGGATCTGCTTGTGGTGTATTGATTACTGCATGACCTTCTATAGTTCCTATTCCCACATTACCAAAACATCTAGTCAAAATCTTTGTAAGTAAGCAGAAATTTTTGTATTATAGAGAGATTCCTTTAAGTGTTGTCTTTGAAGTCTCTTTTTGCTATCAACTGTAAGGTAGTCCATTATGTAAAATTTTGCAAATTGTGAAGTGAAAAAAAATGAAAAAGATTGCAAAGATGACCCACAAGTAAGGCATACGTTTACTATTGCATACTTGCCACAGTAAAGGAAAACAGTGCATAAATATCCCCAAAAAGTTCAGTTCACAGAAAAACAGATTTGTTTTGCAATAACCCTGCTGCATTCCATACAATTGCACTGGGTTGGGTGCCTTTTCATGGTTGTAAACTAAAAAATTCACTCACGCCATCTTTATTGAACAGACCATTACTGAAACTGTTTTTCTTGAATGTGCTTCAAATTATGATCATTTTATTAAGTTATAATTTAATTGGCAGTCTCAGTTTCTAAGTAGACCTAGATAGGAAAACTGGCAATGTTAAAAGTCAGGGCTGAAATGCATTGGCAGAGAAGTGTGGAAGAAACTTAAATCAAGACTTGCCAAATCCATATACTATTAAAATTCAGGTTTGTGAGTAAGGAGTATAAACTCCCATACGTTCTTAGAGAGTCATTTCCAAAGAATTGGTCTGTAATTTGAACACACACACACACACACACACAAACAAGTAATTATACAAATTAAAGAGAAAAATGGCTTATTTTAGCATCATTTCTATTTTAGCATCAGCCTTTCCTTGGAAGAATGGAACCATGACTAGCCTGCCTTTCCTATGCTGCTAACTAAGCAGAGAAAAAAGACATTAGGATCTTAAGTTATTCCAATAGATAAAAAAGGTTACTGTACAGAAAATACAGAACATTGATTTTGTTCATCTCCTGTAGAGAAAAATTGGCAGTCTTAGTATTTTCAAATACTTTAGATAGGAACTTTTATAACTGATTATTCATACTTCGTTTTTTATGATGATAAATCAACTGGTTAATATAGTACTACTTAATCAGTAAGAATGGACAACCTGTAAGTCAGTGATGCTGCAAATGCTATTCATTACAAGAGATGCTAAGTAAGTATCTTAATTGAAGTAAAATACTTAAGAGATCCTGGTACAATTCACTGTTTTTATTGATCTTTTGATCTTTTTCAGTGCACTTGGTACATCAGCAAAGTCCAGTGAAGTCAAAGGGATCTTTCCACAGACTTTAATGGCCTTATCCTCTTTTATCTGCTTCCAGATTTCAAATTGCTCTGACCTAATTGGACTCAAAATTGGGTTCATAAGTGCAAATTTTTCTTAATCATTTTAATTATACTTTCCCTACTATATGCTTTGTGTTATATAAAAATATATTCAGGTGTTGTTTTTTTTGCAGTGAATTGCATCATAGATGTCATGAAAAAAAACAAGACACCTTTAATATAGAACAGTGCTCACATTAAAATTAAAGCAGCAACACACATTACTTTGTCTGTTGGATTGTACTGCTAGATCCCCACATTCCAAAGGAGTTCTCAATTTCATCAAAACCACAGTAGTTTGTCATATTATAGAACACTTCAAAAGGTAAAAGCTTTTATTCAAGCAAATGAGTACATTTTTTAAAGTCTCTCATATATTTCCTGGCCAAAATCACATCAGAATGGAACAGTAAAAGCCCTGTTTTGTTTGTCTTAATGATATAAATGTTGTCAGTCAGAAAACATAGGTACTTCTTAATGATTTTATAGCAAGAAAAATTAGACATATGTCACTTTTGTTGTTACTTATAAAGCAAATTTGTGTCTACTGATTGAAACACAGTATTTCTTTGATATTGTCACTATTCAATGGACACTTATGGAAAGACATTAGTACAAAGAAAATACCCGAGACACCTTTTCAAAGACCGCTGCATGGACTATTCCACTAAAATAATACCAAAAGCAAACTTAAAAGAATGACAACAAAAGCTATCTATCAGAAAAGAGTTTTTGCTATTTGTTGAGTCCTTGACATTTCAACAGAACAACTGAACTTTTAAGATATCTTGAAGTTCCTACAAAGCAGGGTATGTTAGTAGGCACCAATTTTATCCTTCCATTTTGTCTTCATTGAGCAAGAAACCTCCACGCATATAGAATATTACAATCAGACAAATATATGTATCTTGTATTCGTGTGTATAATTATAATAAACACTGTGTAAGTCCTGGTGTTCATCTGTGTTTCAGATGGCAGTTGATGTCATGAAGTTATGAAGTGCCTCTACTGGAAAAAAAAAAAAAAAAAAAAAAAAGCTTTACTTATTTTGTCGTCACTCATTCTGTTTCCTCACACTCCACAGGAAATTCATGGAGATCAATCACCACAATTAGGATTGAGTTATTCCCTTGAAATAACACAAAATCAGTTAGAAGAAATGAAGTCTGACAGGATAAGTCCTCTGAAAACCTCTTTTCATAGCTATAAGAGATATTCTTACAGCTTTTCACAGCTATAAGAAAAAGTAGTGGACAAAAGCTGCCACAGCAGTCGTCATCAAATACTAGGAAAAGCAAAATCACAGACTAGAGAGAGGGAGATGCAGAAAAGATATTGGATTATGTTTAATGAACTATATTAATGGCTAATTTGGGAGGAAAGAGATGCAAAAGTTCTCATACATTGTCAATAGATGCAAGAACTTGAAGAGACAGTCTTAAAATTTCAGGCAGTGGGAGGTCATCATTTCATCTCCCTCTTAAATGCCACATAAATAAGCTTCTTCCTTCAAGCAGACTTTCCTCAATGAAACCGTGCTAAGCATATTCTCCAAGATTACACATAATAGATCACAATAACCTCTAGATAAGCAACTGCAATTACTTTATCAGAGCCATATTAAAAAAGCATAGTAAAGACTATTCAGAGATTATTGTTTTATGAGCTCTGTAGCACACCAACAAATTATTGCTCATTTCCCATTTCTTCCTCCCTTTAATCTCAAACAGACTAATGAAAACATATATATTAGAATATTGCAACTGCCCTTGGAAAGCTCCGATTTTACAATCATTTTCCTTTCAGGTAGATAAAGCAAAAAATAATAATAATAATCTGTGGATTCTAAAATGGATTCATTCTCATGAGAATAGTGGTGCAGTGCAAAAAGAAATCTTTCATAACACTGAGGGAGTTATGAATTCCATTTGGTATTACAGGTTCTAGTAATCATGTCTGAGAAGAGATTTGCTGAATAGTTGTGACATTTCCCTGACAAATCATGTTTTTATTCAGCTTAGTTTGAAGGAAAAGTAGACAAAGTAGATCGTTAAATTCATTTTCTTCTACCAAAAATTACATAAAATATCAGGTATCAAGGTCTAAGAAGTTCTTTCTTCACATGATGTTAATAATCAAAATTTAAAATAATGATAATAACAGTAAGGGAGGGCCCTCCATTCCCTATGAACACACACAGGTATTGGCCATCTTTAATAGCAATTGATGAAAACTCCATTTTATGAAAGTTAAACTGTTAGGTTTTCTTAATCATATATTTTGAGCCAGAATTCATTAAGTCTCAGCTGCAGGTACCTGGGGCAGTTTGTTTTAGATTATAGCCCAATGTTGTAATGATTATTCTAGATATCTTAATTTCTAGATTCTATTCCCATATGTACATAAAAATCCTTAACATATTAGCTACATGCAAGACAGAACAATGGATATTATTTTAAAGATTGAGCAGCTGTGAGGAAATTCTTTTTGTAATCTTTTAAATTAAGAAAGTGTCATCTTCAGGCATATTAATAGACAGATGATATACAAAATTAAACATCTTTGAAATAATAGAAAATGTTAGACTTCACCTACACCTAGTAAAGGTCATTTGTAAAACAGCCTTCAGGAATATAAATATTTATGTCAACAGTATTTCAATAGTATCTTCCTTTTACCCTAACTCAGTGATTGTATGGAAACATATCCAAATATGATGAAAATTAAATTTATAAATGAATGTCCTCAATTATTTTCATAATGTTATATAGGTACCTTCTGCAGAGACAGGACAAAAAAGTTGATACATTATTACATTTAAGTTAGTATTTAGGATATAGTTATGAGATTACATGATAGGATACTTCAAATTTAGGCCAGAACTAGTTCCCAGAGTGTTTTTGAGCTCCTTTATCCATTGCACTGAGAACCATTCTGGTGCTACACTATTACGTATCATCAGTGTCTACCTGAACTCCTGAAGCATCAGTGAAGATTCAAAGCTTTGTTACAGTCAAAATAATTGCTCGACCTCCTAAATTTGAATATACTGAAATATCTAACCAAAGGGATATTTATCTGCGTTAAAATATAATAATAGTATTCTTCTGTATCACCCAATCAAAAATGTTGACAAGCCCAAAATGAACTAATGCAAAAAAAAAGCTTTGATATATTAAAATCTAATAGCTTTTGTGGCAATCAGTCAAAAAGCCTGAGATACAACTCAAATAATGTATTTCTTTCTAGAATGTGTATTAGAGAGGAACAGAATACCAGCACATACAAAGAATCATGTACAATACAACAACTCTGCATTATAGCATATATAAGTGAACATACAATAGTAATGCATATTGTGATATTCCAGTGTAGATTAAAGTAAAGCCAGAGAAGATATTTTTAAAATCTGGTATTTCTCAGTACCAAAGACTGTGCATTCATTATTAAGTTTCAGAATGGATAGCATAAGCATATTTTTAATGCTATTAGAAACAATATTTGAGAACCTGTACATTTATGAAGTGTCCATATTAAAATGTGTCCATAAAGCATGAATAGTTTAAAAATATCTTGGAACATATGCATAAGCAAAAAAGAATTTTCACTACAGAAAAGACTTGGTGACATGTATGGGTTAAGGAAGTAAAAGGAAAATGAGGGAAAACAAACTGGCTGCTGAACACCATAAATGCCCTGGTGACATAGGGCAAGAAAAAGGCTGAGGTACTGAACACCACCTTCATCTCAGTCATTACTAGTAAAACTGGCCCTGAGAAATCCAAGACCTTGGAGGACTGGCAGTGAAGGGAAAGGAATTTATTTTGCTTCTACTAATTTCTACTCAAAGTGCAGGCCTTTTCATAATACCTGTATGCCAAAAGAAAATGCAAGCCATTTCACTCCACCCTTCCCAGGATACAAACCTGCAATTTGGAAAAAAAAAAAAATTGTCCTCCACAATTTCTGGAGTCTTTTCTGAAATTACCAGTGACTTTAAACTGTTTATTAGTGTCAGTGTCAAATTCTAAATCTCTGAAGGCAGACATATCAATCACACACAACAATGATGACAGTAGCTGCAAATCAGAATAAAGTGCATTAACTGCCAAGGCCTCCCACACACAGAAAAACATTTAACAAAGACAGCTGATTAACTCATTCTCACACAGTCATTTATACTCCACTGCTGAGTGCATTTCCAGAGCTATTTCCATTACTATAACAAGCACACTATACAATTTGATAATAGGAACCGTTCACAGCCTCCTTGCAGCTTTGTCATACTAAAAGGCAAGCAAGAAGTTCTGCAAAACATTCTAAAATCCCTCAGAGAAACCATAAGAGCAGTTATTACAAACTTTTAGAGGTATCCAGCCCTTGGATGCTCCAGTCAAGAACTTGCAATGACCATTCACAAGATTGAGTCCACACCATAGCCCCCAGTTCTTTGTTTCCCTACCTCAAAACTACATGAATCTAATTCACATGGGATGCTTCTCCTGGACTTCTGCAGTTTTTCCACCATTCTTTGTCTGAGGCAGGAGCATACACTAGGTTATTTTTAACAGTGAAAGCATTAGTTTGCAGAGTTTGTTTTAACTGTGAAAATACTGCAGAGAATCTTGACAGCCTAGACAGCAGGGCAGTCGTCAAGCAGCATACAGTTCAACAAGATCAAGAGCTTGATTCTGCACTTAGGACTAGAGGACCAGAGTCTGAACAGCAGGCCCATACTGATTCTGAGTTTCAAGGAAGAAAGAAATGTTACATAATCCATTGGAGATTTCTGTGAAGGCACAGGAAAAGTCAATGAACACAAAAACAGTTGTGATCAATTCAGAATTCATAGACTTTAAGACCTGATACAGAGTTCAGGGCCAGAGAATGCTGTTGAATCGTCTGCTACAATTTCCTTTATATCTCAGGATTTTTCAAGGACTGCTCCAAAATTAATGACTCCTATTTTATTATTTGGGCCCACAGCGTCAGAGATGGACATTGATTATAGGGCAGTAAAGTTTGAACCACCCCATCAATATTTTGTTACATTTAGTTGCTATGCAACAGATGGCAACAGAAGGGCAGTCTGACAAAATAGTATCTGACATGGAAGTGAGTAGAAAGGTATGGTATTGAATTCTTTCTTGCTGAAAGAAATGCTCATGTTGACATTCATTGCCACTTGCTGAATATTTATGGCGATGTAGCAGTAGACGTCAGCACAGTGAAGTGATGGGTGGCACATTTCAACAGTGACAACAGCAATATGCAAGACAAGCCACTTTTTTTCTTGGCTATGCACAGTTGTCATGCCATGAAAGGAAGAGCATCTTGATCAGCTCAACCACACAAATGGACTAACAGTGGTGAGTGTGTTGAAAAGTTTCATAGCTGAGAATTTATCAACTAGGGTTATTATGCTCTTTGTATCTTTGCAGTCTCCATGGAAATAAATGGCATTATTTTCAAAGTAGTCTACATATGTTTCACTTAGAATGCACATACTATAAAATTTTACTTGATCTAAGTATAATCTTAGAAGTTGAACTAGAGACAGTAAGGAAAGACATACTTCCCATCCACCCTTTACTCCTTGCACCCAGTACTCAGTTATTTTCACCGTTAAAATGTTGTCAGTTAATTCCAGTGCGAATTTGCCTAGCTGTAACTACCTCTTATGGTGAATCCTTTTCCCAAATAAAACCTACTTAAGAAAGTTTTTCCACATATTGGTATCCATTGATTGAATGGATATGACTTATCCCTAAATTTCCTCAATAGCAAATGGAAGCCTAGGTCCTTAACCTCTCAGAAGCAGCCTGTCTTGACGGTGCTTGAAGAATGCATTATCCTCTGAAGGTAGCTACTGTAATTTCTTCAGTGCTATTATGAATTGTATTCATGCTCAAACCCTGAAAATTAGGGCTTTCCTCATAAGGAAATTTGATAGTCATACTGAAACAATTTCTGCAGCTACTTCCTAAAGAGTTTGCTTTATAATTAAAATGCACAGATATCACACAAAAGTTAACTATCATCATTTGCTATCTAATATTCTATAAGTTCAGTCAAATTCTACATTATGGACATCTGTTTAACATTAGACTAAATTTAAACACTGAAGAATTTGGCCCTTTCTCCTCTCTTTCTACACTAGCAAAATTATCTTAGAAAATACTTCATTGAAGTCTTTTGTCACTATCTAGTCATTTACCTCATGGTGAGAGAAAAGAGATGCCAAATAGCTGACCGAGCCTTGATACATTTGTTTGCTGATACTGGCTTAATTTAACACATCCCTTGGTTCTGTTTCCTAATACGATCTTGTAAATTATCCTTCCTCAGCTTTTTTTCTGTACCATTTTGATTTATAGCTTGAAGACATCCATCATGAGTCGGAAGCAACGTATCCACTAATGGAAGACCCACTGCTTCCAGCTCAGTGCTTGTCATTCATCTTGCATGTCACAGCGCAACACAACTTCCATCCTTCCAGCGCTGGGACCACTTTCCAAGGTGCTCACAGACATGCCCAGGGAGAGGACATGCTGTGCAGTGGGATGTGCTGCCCTGTTCACCTGCTGTTCGCTCCTTTGCTTCTAGAGCTCTTCAGTTCCTCCTCATCAGCTTGCATAACTGATTGCATTCATAAGTTATTTGAAGATGCACCTGCTTCTGCAACTATCTATGTTGCATCAGCTATGTATAAAATTCACCATTTAAGAAACAACAACCAAACAGAACACCCGAATATTCCCACACACTCATAACTATGTAATTTATAAATATTTTGCTTTTGCCTTATCAGATGAAAACTAAACTTTCACATTATGTTTGTGAGAATCCTTCTTTGCTTTTTTTTTTTTTGGCTCAAAACTTGCTTTCTTAGGTATTTTGTTGAGGAGGCAAGTGATGGATGTTGTGTAGCAATCAACATCGCTGTGTGGACAACTTTACATCATTGGAGCTGTTTGCCTTCGGAAGATAGTGCTCAGGACTGTTTACTGGTGGAAGACCTAGCCTGTGACCAAGTAACTCCTGTTTGCTATGGGAGGCTGGGAGATGATACCATTGTATCCTGCAAAGGCAAGATACAAGTTAGTACCTCCCTGCTTCTTCTTATCTGCTGGCAAGGCCAGAAAGATGAGAACAAAGGAGGTTCCTGCTGAGATCCCAGAGCTAGAAGCTGCCACTGCAAAGAGAACTGACTCAACCACCTTGGGTTTGAGCTGTCACTCAAAGGAGAGCTGACTCGACCACTTTGGATTTGAGCTGTCACTCCAAAGACAGCTGACTCAACCACTTTGAAGCATTGAAAAAGGGCCATCATCACCATGGTCGTCTTCGTCCTTCGTCGTCGTCAACAGGACAACTCTGCCTGACGACCCACCGCTACTGAAGATCAAAGACTGAACTACGAACCTCGCGGGATTTATGGTGGTGACTATGTCCCTCTTGCTGCCTATAAAGACTCCTTGCCTCTTCTTTCCTATCTTTTCTGTCGCCCTCCTTCCCTTCCCCATTACCCTAACTCATAATAGTGTCCATTCTCCCCTTCCCCATTTCCCCTGATTAAGATTTGTAATAAACTGGTCAGACCAACATTTGAACCGTTGCTTCTTAATCTCACGCCAGGTATATAGATAATAAAAGAACCTCCTCTCCCTCCTATAAATTGGAGCAAGACAATGTTCCCATGCAATCCTTTACAGATCAGGTCCAAAAAAAAGCAGCCTTCCATTAATTACAAACTCAATTAGTGACAAGTAAAACTAATGGCATATAGACACTCATCTATCTGACCACATTCACAGAAGTCAGCTTGAATGCTCCCCAGTAATCACAAAATCAATAACTACCTTCTTTTAAGAAGTTTCTCTGTATGTGGAAAGCCCTTAATAACATCCTCCATTTCATCTATCATTTTTCTGTGACTACTCAGCATTCTTACAAAATGAGAATCTTCCCAAAATGGAACCTAATTTTCTACATCTACAATAGCTGTACTAACAGTTTTTCGTATTGTTGTGGTGGACCATAACAGGTTTGTTGTTTTTTTTTTTTTTCTCTGTCAAGAGTCTCAGAGCTTTTTGAAACATGCTGAAAAGTCTGATGATGTTATAAGTAATGGGTCAGTGAGGGTTATTTGGAAATAAATTTTACAGAGAAGCTATTCCTCAGGACTACTGTCCTTGTTAGATATATCATCCTCCCTTCTACTCTCTGTCATAGGGTACATTAACTGAAGTGTTAATACAGCAATACTGGTCTCAAAAATAAGCTTCTGAGTGCACAATGTTTGGCAGAAACTAAAATCGGTCAAGACGAGTTCACCCATCCCCAATATGTGGCAACAAATTCAGTGTTACATTTGGATGACAAAGTAAACCATGTTTTAACTTAAGCTGACTGTGTAAACTACTTCTCTACTCTTTTCACATGTATAATTTTTCATATCATCTCCTTATTGTGAGATACTCTTTCCTTTTTTTTTTTTTTTAATTGGTACAATTATTGTTTAGTCACAGTAATCTTTCACATGAAGTAGAACTCTTCAATATTGCTGTATTAAGGGAAATTATAATAGCCTATTGACTGCGGTTTAGTCAATCATCCATTCATTACTCTGTCCCAAAGGTTTTTGGAATTTGTGAAGTAATGTATTTGATTATCTCAAAAGTCAATATAAGCACAAATGGGAGATCGCAATGAACCAAATCAGTTAAGATTAATGTAGTTGTGAAAACAGGCTATCAAGCTGTTCACCCCATCCAGTACATCTAAGCTTGAGATGCTTTTTAGGCTTATAGTCTGTACAAATAATAAGTTATAATCCCCAAAAAAGGCATTTGTATCCCCAGAGATCCTCAGCCTTATATGTAGTGTAAGCAAACATTTCAAACAGCAGTGGAAGAAGGCAACA